CAAGAAGTCCACTTTGGTTTTAATCAGGGAATGGGTACAATGCATGAGCAATTTACGGCACAGGTAAGACATCGATAGTGCTGTTCAAACCCATTACAATGTATATATACAAAAATAAGTGAGGTAAGTTAAACATAGGTCTGGTAAGCCTTTTTCTACTCTCATTCAGTTTATTTTCCAGTACTTTTAGGTATATTTTCAGAAGTGAAAAACATTAGTCTTGAGTGGTAGAACCTTTCTCAGCCAAAAATCAAGTGGTTAAAAAAGGTAAAGTTCTATAATCATTAATACGAGGGCAAAATCTCTTTCCTTTAGTATACTTTGTACCAGGGAGCAGAAATCACGTGGAGGTGATTTTTCCCAATGGTAGAAGAGTGCCAAATAGGTACTCTGTATATCTACACTTCCTTCCATCTCTGTTCTTAACGGGCTGTGGATGCTCAGAACCTCTTCCTTGTCCAACATTGCCTTGTGTCTGTAAAGTGAAGGAGTCATCATGCTGAACAAGTATATGGGGAATTGGGGAACTCCCTTAGGAAAACCAGCAAAATGGGAGTGGTGGCATCAGGGCTGAGCGATGAGAGGTCATTTCAAATTAAATATGTAATGGGTATAACTTTTTTGTGCGTAATTATACAAGTATGTAGTAACAGGGCTCAGTGAGTGAGAGGACGAAGGAATTTTTCAAGCCTCCTTATAATGCATATGCGAAAGGGATACTGTATTGTTCTTTAACAGTCTCCATTGCTTCAAAGATCAAAAGGAACTACACTGGTAAACTAGCACAGATCATGGCTGATATGCTTGGCAGTCAGAAGGAAATGGTTGTGCTCTTGCTTTCATCTTTATTAGCAGTATAAAAGGACTTTTATTTGTTTTTTAGCAACTTACCAATCATATTCGGGATACCCTGCCAGCCTTCAGAAGCAAACTCCAGAGCCAGCTGCTTTCTATCGAACATGAAGTAGAGAAATACAAAAACTTCAGACCAGAAGATCCAACCAGAAAAACGAAAGCCCTATTGCAGTGAGTGTCTAGTCTTTTGTCTGCTTTTCCACTTTGTATAGGTTTGTTTTGTGCTTTCCCCCCCCGCCCCCCCCCTTCCTAATGGGTTGGAATTTAAAGATTAGGATATGGTTAAGGATTCTATATGCAAACTCCAAAGAATTCTGTGCTTGATGTTCCAGAATGCTTTATTTACTCTACAATTTCAGCAGGGTTTTCCCTAACTTAATTTTAGTAATCCTATAAAAGAGAGAAAGCAGAACAGGAAAAGGTACAAACATGGGCAACACAGATGATCAAAGGTAAGAAACTGCTTCTGATTGTATAGACACCTTCTTCAGCCTGCCAAAAAGATGACCTCAAGCAAGGGGAGGAAATTGCGTTAGAAGTCTGTAAGATGAGGAGTCTGAAAGGAGAATAGGGAATGCTTCTTTTTCCAATATGAAAACTTGGCTATCCCAAAGAACTTGAAGATGGCAAGATCAAAATTAATCGTAGATGGTAATCCTTTGTGTGATGTGAACCTAAGCCACAGAGCTCTTTGCTGCAGGAGCTGATACTAAAAATTTGTGTGCTTTCAGAAAGCAGCTAGGCAAATTCTTGGGGATGGAGAAGATGTTTAAAATTAGTAAGTACAAGGACAAATTCTTGCTGTATGGAACCCACGAACAACAATTTATTGAAGCCAAAGAGTATTCTGGAGAAACATTACTCTGTGCTTGCTCTGTTCTCCTAGGCACTTATTGTTGGTGACTGTCGTGATACAGCTTTTGCTCCACTGTAGTGCAGCCATTCTTACATGCAAGTGATAGTGTATTGGGGTGGGTGAAAACCTCTTTCTTGCAGTTTGCCTGCCAGCACGCATCTGACAACTAGCAGCAAAACAGGTGATGTGATGTGCCACCTGTGCTTGTGTTAAAACTGACCTGGCAGTTGTTGACCCTTTTGGGCTTCAGAAGTCATGGATGGAATACTGTTCTTTGTTGGAGGAATTGCAATGATTTCTTGAGCTACATTATTATCACAAGTTCTGAACTAGAAAGCTTTTTCACTGCTGAAGTCACTGTCCAGTTTGGGTCTCATCCACAAAATCAGTCTGTCTGACGAGACTTTGATAACAGTATTGTAAAGTGATGGAACAGAGATGACTGTTCATCTGACTTTGAATCAAGTGGAACTGGAATCAGAGCCCTTTCTTTATTGTGGTTTTAGCACTAAGGAAAAAAGGCAATGCTGACATTGCAGGTTGAAGCCCAGTTAGCACCCACTGCTTTGCTTCATGTAGCTTCCTTACTTGGTCTGTTTCCAGGGATGCTTGATACTCAGTATTGCTTACCTTTTCACCTGAAAGGTCTGCCATTCTCTTCCTCTCCCTTGTAGCCCTCTGCAGCCACCTCGATGTTCATACATTATTAAAATTTACCTCTTAGGAGAGGAACCATCTAAAGGAAGAAAGAGAGAGATGTAAAATGTACCGAGCTCTTCTCTCTTATATGACTGTTGTCACATTCCTACTCTGATTTCAAAGGTTTTCAGACTTCTTGGTTCTCTGGGATAGATGGTAGTAGCACTGGATTGTGAAAATGTGTAAGTTTTGGGCAGGATTCATTCTCTAATTAAAAGTCTGGAGTTCAGAAGGGAAAATGGTCACCTGAACTAGAGAGGCTTTTTTGACCCAGCTGAAGACTCTCTGATTTACTGCTTGTTTTTGTAACAAAAAAGTAGACATAAGTCTGTCCCTCGTGACTTTACTTCAGATGTTTTGATTGCAAAAACAGAGGGACATCACCTTTGACTCTTCCGTGACAGTACAACACAGGTGTTTTTTTTTTTTTTTCTTCACTGTATATTTGATGACTTAACTGCTGGAAACACATATATGAAGTGTTGTGAATTGTTAGGTGTTGCTGGTATCTCACGCTTGTTCTGCTATTGTAACATGTTCTAAAGGAAAAAGAATCAAATTCCATTTCAGCCTAAGTCATCCTAGTTGATACTTCTCTCCATAGTTTTTTCTAATTCCTTCGTTGTAAGTAGGTGCTATAGGAGAAATTAACTTCTTTTGTCAGTAAAAATTCTCCTCACTTTCCCCCCCCTTTTTTTTGGGGGGGCGGGGTGTGGAAAGTAACATAATTAGAACCCTTTCCTCTGATTCTTGAGAACAAGTTCCATAATGCGTGTAAGAAAGAAAAAACCCAAAACAAAAGCAAAAAAAACCCCTGCCTCACCTCACCCCATAAGATGATCTAAAGTTTCTGCAATCCTCTTCAAAAACTGAGTCTGGAGCCCTACACTTATATTCCTTCTATAATTCTGTTAACATGGCCATATAGGTACCTGAGGTTTATGTACAGTTAATATGCAGTGTTACTTTTTGGCAGAATATGTAATTTCAAATTTTATGACTAAATGCCTGTACTTAGGTGTTAAAAAAAAAAAAAAAAAAAAAAAACAAAGAGCTATCCATGAATCTTCCATAACTGGAGGAATTCTCATGTGTGGTCTTCTAAATACTCTTGCTGCAGAAGTCTAAGCACAATCAGGTAAGCTGTGATACTGACAGCTGCCACACTGACATGTTACTACTGCTTCTTGGGCTAGCTTTTTGGCATGGGAAAGTAAGTTCCTTAGCAATATCTTCCAAATTTTCCAGCACTGGATCAGCTTAGTGTCTTGATTCACACCATGCTATTGGACTGTATATTTCTGAAAGGTATTAGAAAGATCAAAGGGTCATTGTGGAGAAGTAAGCTCTCCCCAAGTGGTACCTTTTGCCATAAGATTGGAGATTTTTGCTTGTGGTGGTCTGCCCTATTGAGTTCTGCAGTTTCTGTAACAGCATCTAAATATGGATGTGCTTGTCTATTCAAATACAGTCCGTATTATAACTTAAATTTTAGTCCTTTTATTTGCTTATCCTACTAAAAACACTCTCTCACTTTTTCTTCTCCTAAAAAAAAAAATTAAAAATTTATGTAATAGATAATGGTAGCATTTACAATTATGTGATCATTGATAAAACATGAATGTAGCCTGGGACACTGCTGTATTTGTAGCTGACTCTAATATACAGTTAAATAAACAGTGTTTTTTTAAAAAACCCTCAAATTTATGAAGAAAGAAAATAATATACTGAGCTACATCCTGCAAGAGAGAAGGTGTGTGGGTGTGTGTGTGGGGTTATGGATTTTATGGATTGGCAGCTTGGTTGAATGAATTGTTGTTATAGATACTTTTGTCAATTCTTAAATATGTTTTAATAGGCGCTAGCAGTCATATAGTACTGAAGTAAGAGTTGGTAGTTGACATGCTTAAATGCTTGTGTTTGGGTTTTTTTCTCTCTCTCCCTACCCCCCTTTGAAATTTAGGATGGTACAACAGTTTTCAGTGGACTTTGAAAAAAGAATCGAAGGATCAGGAGATCAGGTTGATACACTAGAACTTTCAGGAGGTGCCAAAATCAATCGTATTTTCCATGAACGTTTTCCTTTTGAACTAGTGAAGGTATTTATCTGTCTTGCTGGTGTGCTTTGTGTTTTCTTTATGTATTCTTATGTTCATACTGACAGTAGTAAAGCCAAGATATGGTCTGATTGGAAGTACATGCTCTTAACTGTAGAAGAAATTACATGAAGTTATAATTGAGACATTTGACTTCATTTCTAGTTTTGGATACCGAGACATGCTAAGAATTCTGAAATACAGGAATTAGAATATAATTATAGTCCCAGTTCTTACTATTTTCCATGCTTTTTTATTGTTTTATCACAAATGACATCTTCCTTCCAGTTAGATGGGGCAGGCAAACAACTAGAGTTGGTAGGTTTAAGTTGTTGTGTTCAATTAAGTTGTTGTGTATCAATTAAAATTAGAGTTATGGAAAATAGCCATTTTCTGTGTTTTCTACTTCCTGTATTCAATGCATTAAACCAAAGCCAGCTTTCAGTCCTACACTTCCATAGTGGGAGGTAGAGCAGAAGCAAATTTGGTGTTTCAAGATAACATTTCTCCTCTTGATACATCTCTTCTTGCTTACCAAGTCTTTGGGTAACAGAATAAATGGAGGTCCAGTGGGGTGTCAACTAATGAAACCTGGTTTCCTGTGAATTTTTGTTACATATTGTTTGGTTTTTCTTTCACTGCAGTGACTTCAGCTTCCCCTCACCATGAACTCTACTGTGTCTCTAGTCCCTATTCTTTTACACATCTCCTAAGCTTCCTTTCCACCTGTTTTATGTTCAACTGCCTTGACATCCCCTAACTTTCAGTTGGGTAAGAACCAGACAGGGTTGTGGCTGGTTCCAAGGTTTAAATGTGGTAGGTCAACTAGCAGTCCAACAGAACAGATGACAGCTGGGCTTAGGTAATGACCCTTTAGTTTGTGACAATACTAACTTCTCTTCCAGCTAGCTGGCTTTCAAGAAACTTAAAGAAAAGCTTTGTAACTTCATAACTGAGACCACTTTTCTCTTAAATTTGGTTGAAAAACAGTAGAATGGGAAAGGGAGGATAAACAGACCATAATCACAGAAGTTGCATCACTTCAGGAAACCAGGCTTAAAAAAAAAAAGTTGCATCTTCCAAATCCTGTTTCTGGCTTACTCTGTCTACTCTGCAAAATTGTTCCAGCTTTTGGTATATCTGGAATAAAAGGGTGCATAATTTTCAACAATCCTTACTGCTGCCTGTAGCCTTAGTGTTAAAATGTTTTAAAACAGTTATGCTTTGTTTAGTGTAATTAGAAATTAGTGTTTTGCCAGTTGAACTTGCCTGTCTTCCGGTTATATTGGGAGAGGTAGTATTTTCTGTTTTATTAAAAACTTCCCCTAATATGATCTCAAATGCTTTTATTCCTCTAGATGGAATTCAATGAGAAGGAACTGCGGAGAGAAATAAGCTATGCTATCAAGAACATCCATGGTATCAGGCAAGTGCTCCCACGTTTTCAAGCACAGTCACTCTATAGAGGGTGTGGTCTTTTTAACCTGTGGACAGACACACTGGCTGTTGACTGCTAGACGGTGCTACTAACGCACTGCTCGCAGCAGCTGACTTTTTTTCTTCCAATCCTTTACAATTCTGTTTTTCAGGTAGCTACTTTGGGCCAAATAGTTGGTTTGCCCAAAGAGGTTTAATTTACCTGGAAGTGCTGGAAAATTATTTTACAGAGCAAATAAATGACTCTCTCTCTGGTAGTGTCTGCAGTTCTGTTAAGCCTGTATTCCTGACAAGTCATAAGTTTTAGAGGGAAAACTTGTGTCTTGATACGGAAAAAACCTTTCAGCTTGTGTTGTGGCAGACTTCTTGCACTATCTTACTGTCCTTTATTCTCAGCTGTTTCTTGAAATGACTGATTTACAAGTGAGTTGGCTGAGGTTCACTTCGTGGATATCTGCAGCATATTATTAGGTTTGGGAAGTGGAGGTATTTAGTTTTTTAGTTTTAATTAGGAATAACCTAATTATCTCAGTTTGGAATGATCAGTCTGTTTTGGAGGGACACTTTATCAGATGCATACCCATTTCTTGTTCTTTTGACAATAGAACAGATTCCAAAAAGGTTGGGTTCTTCTTTTGTGGGGGTTTTTTGTTTGTTTGTTTTGTTTGTTTGTTTTTTTCCCCCAGGGGGGAAGGGAGGTTGGTTTGGGTGTTTGGGTGTTTTGCTGTTGTTTTGTTGTGAGGGTGGTTTGTTCCCCCCCTCACCACCACCACTTGTGAGTATGTAATATCTTTTGAAAGCATTGCTTACAAGATTTGTTGTTCTTAGTGTTTTGGAAAATGTTCTTTGCATTACTTGTATACTAAATTCTCAAATGGTTGACTCTAGCCATAGTGCAGTATTTGAACTTTTCTGGTCTTATTGATGGAGAAGTCTTAATGAGCAATTTATGGTAGTGAACTGATAGTTTGGGACATGTTTTTATAGTTTGCTTTTTTAATATAATTTATCTGCCAAGATAGGCCTTTGCAAGCAGCGTTTGAAATAGAAGTAAGGCCTATTTGTTTAGAACTGGTTCTGTGAGGTATCTGTTACATAGGTTCATGTACCCTGCAGTGACCAGCTGTGAAATTCTCCATATAGGACTGAGTAATAGAACCACACTTCCTGTTGTGAGTGAAAAGTGCAGCTATAGGATTCTTATGGATTTGCTATGCAAGTGATTGTGCATGGAGTGCTGCAGCTGCCGTTCATCCCTTCTCTAAGGTTTGATGCACTGCTGAAGGGGCTTTACTGCATTATATCAGTACTCTTTAGAGTTCTCACAGTCATCTTCAAGTAGTAGGGCATGTTTCTACTTTTATATTCTTACAATGACACTTTTTTAGAGAAAGGAGCAAATTTAGTTCTGTGGAAGTCCGTGTAGAGATTGTTATTACTCAGCTGTCACCCTCTGAAAATGGGAGATATGAGCAATTCAGTAAAAAAACCTTCCTTGCGTGATGTTTTTATTACCGTCTTACATCTTCTTTTATGTCCACAGAACAGGTTTGTTTACTCCAGATATGGCATTTGAAGCCATTGTTAAAAAACAGATAGTCAAACTGAAAGGACCTTGCTTAAAAAGTGTGGATCTGGTGATGCAAGAGTTAATCAACACTGTCAAGAAGTGCACTAAGAAGGTAACTTGTAAATAGATCTGGTAATGTGAGTATAATGTAATGGTATAGTAGATAATACAAAGCCTGCCTTGCATTTTACGGTACTACAAGAGATTTCTGATCTAGTCACTTGATGTACAGAGCAAGACTCTCTAAAGTTTACAACTTCTGCAAATCTCTAAAAAAAAGGTAACACTGGAAATGCTAATTTTTTGATTGCTGTGTTTTGAATATATATATATAAACACACCCCCCCCCCTTATGATTGGAGGTTTTTTGAGTCAAAAGTTGCACCCAGCTTCCTCTTTAAAACCATGTTTTCATTGGTACTGAAAATGGAACATAGGCAGCAATTGCATGGATGTGTAAATTGGCAAAAAACCTGTACTTTGAAGTTTTCTTTTCCAATACTAATGAGAGGAAGAAACAGTGAAACTTTTCTAGAGCAAAGGCCTCCAGTGTGTTCTATCTATCAAGGAGAGAAAAATGCTCTTTCTATATTGAAACTTTACTGGGTAGCACCACAGTTCTTTGCAATGTAATGGGTTCACAACTTTTCCTGTGCTTTTTTCATACACAACCCCAAAATGTCTGATCTCCAGCTGTCAAGAAGTTAGAAATGGAAAGCTAGGAAGACTTCATCTCCCTTGTATTTGTACATCCTTGCATTAGTGTTGACAAATGAGCTGTTGAAGATTTTAGTGGAAAGAACTGCTGAGCATTGAACTTCCTGATGTGAAAGTTGTGTGCATCAATTAAACTTTTAATCAAGGTCCTGCAAGTGTAATAAATTAAGAAATACGTTCATCAAAACTAAACATAGCATTACTGTGAGTATTTGGGAATGGTGTTCCTGATGTGCGTTCTTGGGTTGGTGTATACTCTTAGAATGAAACTTCAAACTTCACACCCCTCCAGCTGTGGCTAAGGAAGCATGTTGGATATATTATTATGAAGCTTTTTTTTCTCACACTTTTCACCTTCATAGGAAAGTTGTCATCTGTAAATACTGTGACTACTTGTCTGGAGCACTGATAACTAACAGTTGCTGATTTTCAATTCTCTTTTCTCCCATTATTCTGTGATATTCTAGAAGATCCCATTGACTCTTGTAGACTTCTTAGCTAACTGGCTACTTTTATTGTCTCACCTTCTGTTCACCTGTCTTTCCCACTGTCTCAGAGTGCAGGGTACTCTAATAGTAGCAATTACAGGAGCAGTTCTGGGATGTGAGCACAGGCATGCTGGAGTTGTTGAGAAATATTTTTCTGAATAATGCATTTTTTTTTTGTACCAATGAGCAGGTAAAGGACTTCTTAAAACAGGAAAGGGTGACAATCTTTTTGACAAAGATCATAGAGAAGTGGATTCACTGTAATATTTTGCATGGAGTTTCCAGGTTTTTTCACTTTTGTCAAAGTTTGGAAGATATGTCCCTTGAATTAATTGTGCAGATTCTTTTCCCGGTGCTATTGGCCAAATTTACTGTTGTGTTTTGCTGTCTACATTTTTAAGTATTGTTATTGAGATGTAAAGATGTTGCCACAAGGTGGAGCCTTCAAAGAACAAGAAACTTGGAAATTACTTAAAGCGCCACTTTGGAATTAGGCACAGGAGAAGAGACAGGCATGGAGAAACCTCACCCAAGGCTGATAAATGGTGATTCACATGTCCAAAGTGTCTCTTCCTCAGTGTTCCATGGAGCAAAAGCACAGAAGCAATCCAAGGGTTTATGTCTCTCCAGTTTCACTGGAAAAGTGACCATTAATAGCAAGTAAGGCTTGCTTCGTAGCGTAGTTAACTTCTAGCTCAAGCATTTATAATAATTGCTTTCTTCCAAAGAGGAAAGCTGGAGGCTCCCCTGTTTGTATTCTACTGAAGCCATCCTGCAGATGTAAATTTCTATTAATTTTGCTTTTCAGTTGGCAACATATCCAAGGTTGTGTGAGGAAACAGAAAGAATTGTTGCTGGCTACATTCGTGAAAGAGAAGAGAAGACCAAGGATCAGGTGAGAATAAACAGGAGATCTAACAGTTCTAACAGTTTGGGGAAGTGTGTGAAGGAGGAAAGTTCTTACGTATGAAGTACAGTAAGACAATGAAAGATTTTTCTTTTCTTTTTTTTTTTTTTTTCTTTTCCAGCAGGCTGCACATTTCAGGGGGGAGAGAAATTGCTCCTCTACCATTGAGCTTTGATAGAAGAGACTAGAATTGTTACAGAAGATCCTAATCTGGTCTTTCAACATTAGGATTAGTGGTTTAACGTAGTGTTGGCTTGTTCCTGTGCCACAGTGTGCTGCCATCTTAACTGTGCCACAACAGCCGTTTGTGGGAAATTGATTAATGATTAAACAAATGCACACAGAAATACCCAGCATTTTTTCTGCTTTGTTTCCAGTTCTGGTTTTTTTTTAACATACCCGTCCCATGTTCTCATTACAGTGAGGCCCGCAAGCAATTGTACTGGGACTCTTGCGGGAGTGACAAGCTTTCCTTCAAGTTTAAACCAAGGGTTTTTTTTTTAAAAAAAAAAAAGTCAGAGAAACTTTTTTAGAACATTCATCACCCAGCTAAGCACTCCAAATCCGGGAAACTTCAAAGCAACATGTGAGAAAATCCACTGGAAGTGGAAACAGGAATTATTGTTTGCAGAGTGCAGAGTGTGACAACAGAAATATTTGGGGAAGGGCTAGGCAGAGCTCCTAAGTTGTTCTGGACTCCTGGTGCTCTAGTCCTGTCCCTGTGTGAGCTAGGGAGCTGTGCAGTGTGTCCTGCTTCTTTTCCTTTAATCCGTGCTGTGAATGTAGTCTTAAAAATAATTTTTAAAAAATTGTATTTGCTGGGCTTGTACTTGCAGGGTGTTCTAGTTAGCACACTCAGTTATTTAAAAATTTGGAAGAAGATGCAAGTTACTTAGAATAATTGAGTATTTTTTCTTATTATTCCATTCTTCATTGTGTGCACATACCTGGCAATTTCCCAGAACAAAGTACAAAATACCAGCTTTCTGTAAATGCCAAGAATTGGTCAAATAGGTTATTGTCGCATATTCACATCATTATTTATGCTGTTAGCAGTTATTGTTAATAAATGGAAATATTAGTGAGGATATTTTCAGAGGTAAGAGCTAAACGCAAATCCTCACTATCTTTTGCTGAGTGAGGCACCTAATATCTTCTGGAAATTGTGACAAATTTGGGAGTGATGCTGTGTTTGAGGAGCTGTACAGAAATAACTGTATACTTTGAAGAGATTAAATGCTGCCATTTGGTAGCAATAGGTTTCTTCTTTGCTCCCTGCTGATAAATGGCAGTCAGGAAAAGACTGGGGGAAAGTGCAGTCTCATGCATGTCCAAGAAGCTGTTCAGGGGTGGGAGTGAGCTTTCTCTAATATCTTAGCAAGTTCTTTGCTGAGTTATTTTTATCAAGTTCAGATCAAATTCTGTCTCTGGGCTATTGAAGGACTGGCAAGTGATAAGTGCACAAACGATTCATTCTGTTATTTCATTGACTAGCCCATCTCTCAAGCCAGATGTGTGCACCAGAGTGGCTGTCTAGTACCTGGACTGTACATTTTCTGGGCCAGGGGTAGCTTACCTATCAGTTCTTTGTGTAGTACCCTGATTTTAGGTTTAAGGTTCGGGTTCCTTGCTGGCTTGGCTGGAATGCTACAAATAGACAGAATTTTGCTTAACTTGCAAAACGTAGAGCTAGAATCTATGTTATATATTATTAAACTCGCTCTGGCCATGTATGATCTTAATGAAGTGGACAAGGGCCAAGATACTGAAAAATGAAGTCTGTCAGGAAAAAAATAGGAAGAGCCAATAGCTCTTCTGTAGTCTAGCTTATTAAACAAGCACATGAAGTTGTGGGATTTAGAAAATGTTGTTGCTTTTGGATTTAACGATTATAAAAGGAATATTCAATAGTGTAGAAAACTCAAAAGTTTTGTTCTGTTCTTTCTTCCTTTTCCTCGATCTCTCTCCTCCACCTTACCCATCCTTTTTTTGCTCTCCTGTCTCCCCTAATAGGTGCTGCTGCTGATTGATATCCAGGTTTCTTACATCAACACTAACCACGAAGACTTCATTGGCTTTGCAAAGTATGTATATAGAGACTTTGTTATAAAGACATTGACAGTTTTTTTTGGTTTTGTTTTTTTTGCTAAGTTTGAAACACAAGTCTTGAAGTGTGACAGTAAAGATGCAAGCTGCAAAGACCCAAACATGCAGGAGCATGCTCTTTCTCAATATACACAGTGTTGAACTCTGTCCCACTTGTAGGGGATTCTTTACCCTAGTTCACAAACCTGGTTTCACTGAAGCTTATGTTTTGGTCTGGAATCACATGCATCTCAGGAAGCAGCTTTGGCAAGCTGATGCCCTCACTGTATCCATTTTAGGACCGCAGAAATCTGTAATATTGGTGGTCTTTCCACATTGTTGCTAATGCATGTTTTGGGAGCTGTGATTCCATGTGAAACAGTTTTGCTCAGAGTAATGGATGTCACTGAATTATAAGTGTGCCTGCTCTTTGGCTGTAGAGAATAATAGTAGCAGAATGCCCTGCAGGGCCTGGTTTGACGTTCTCCTCGCTTAATCGAAAAGGCTGTGAGAATATTCTCCAGAATGTTCTCCCTCAGCTTCCAGCAATTTATGCCTCAGGGACTTCATACCAACATTTTGACACTAGTAAAAACGTTAAAGATGTCTTCACTCTTTGAAGAATAAATGTTCCTTCAGTCATTTTCATGCCATATTTGCCATAACAGTGTTTGGAATCACAACAGGTTTCATCCATGTGGGATGCTGGCAACAAAGTCTGGCACCACAGTATGTATTATACTATTGCCTATCCTAGCTAGCACTGCGAAGGAAGGTCTACATCTTTGGCAGTTTGCCTTGAAGGTTTAAAACATGGAGTTCAGCGAGCTGAGCAGGGAGAAGGCAAAGCCAGACACTGTTTATGTGTTTGGTTTGCACAACTTTCTCTAGAACTGTTGTGCAGGTCCTGGATATCTTTATCAGTTCTCTTGACAAATGACAGGATGTTGTAGGAATGGTAGCTGGCCTTCTAGAGGTCAAGATAACAACCTGCCTGCTATTTACTTCTCTTCATCCTTTTCTGACAGGAAAAAGCCTGCTAAAAACACTCCATATATATTCATGGTGTGTGTTGTGACCTTGGGAAGTCACATAGACCAACCTCCTGCTCAGAGGAGGGTCAGTGCTGAGTTCAGACCAGGTTACTAAGGGCTTTGTCCAATCATATCTGGAAAACTTCCAAAATTGGAGAGTCTTCAGCCTCCCTATGCAGCCTGTTCCAATGCTTGCCTCTCCCCACTGTGAAACTTTTCCTTGTGTCAAGTTAGAACCTTCTGTGTTTTATAGTCTTGGATTCTGGATCACCACGTGTATCTGGAGCTATTTCATTATGTCTCTCCCCTGGAAAAATCCTCCTCATGGATGCTGCTGCTGGGGCCTGTAGTTCAGTCTGTGGTCCTCACTGCTGTGCCTTTTCCAAGGAGCTGCAATGCCCGAGTTCAATTTCTTGGGAAAGCTGCTTCCTCTTTTGCCAGTTGAGATCTAGATCTCCCCAGCTGCTGTGCATGGGGTATAAGCAGATAACAAATGGCTCTTCACTTAAGTTCACTGATAAGTTTAAGCAAGTGTTTCTATAGGTTGAAACTGATGGGAAGGGAAGTATCTTTGTTGACTTGTGCTCAACTGGAAGAGAAAAATTGGATAACTAAGAACAACTTAAAATGTAAAATAAATTAATTTAGGAGCTAAACAGTAGAAAATACACATTTTAAACTGTAATTGTATTATTGTTATAACAATTATGTAACAAGTGGAGAATGAAATAATTTTTGGGTAGCATATGGGCTTCTGCAGTATCTAAACATCCTGGACTATAGATTCTAGCCATTTGTCTCATGTGACTGCAGTGTTTTATAAGTGTAAGTCCTGTGAACTTTGCTCATAAGAATGAGAGCACAGGACACTTCAAACTACCTTGCAGCATTGCAGGACCTAAGGCAGGCACAGTGCGATGTGAATTGACTCAAGAAGGATTTAAGAATGCCAATATTTAGAACAACTTTGTATAGTTATGAAATTGTGAAATCTTAGAATATTAATGGTTGTTTCACTTAGCAGAACAAGTGGTAAAATGTTGGGATTGGGTTTGTTTCCAGTTGGTATAACCCAGACATAGCTACATGCTTCAATCTACACGAAGAGTAATTTGTATTTAAAACAGTAAATAGAGGACCAATTGCTGGGCTGTTTCTAAAAGGCATGGGTTTCTTAGTATGATGTTAGCGGTCTAATTTTCCTAAGTGGTCTAGCTTTCCTAAGGCGATAAAATTAAAAAAAAACACAACCCCAAAACCCCAAACCAAAAGAATGGCAATTAGGTTTCCTAAAGCCATCTCATGTGTGTTTCTCAAACAACAGATTGGAATTGATGAGGGGTTAGTGCTGTTTTTTCTGTGTGCATGTTGTTTAATCATAATTTACGCACCCAAGCTTATGCAACTCGGACGATGCACCAGAGACATGCAGTGTTATTCGGTCAAAAGGATTTGGATGATTGAGAGCTAAGCCCAGTGAATAGGCACATGGAATAAACACTCTTGTGGGTCTCTCACAGACAGCATGTGGACTGCTGGTTTGATAGAATGTGTTCCGAATGGCAGGATCAGATTTGGGACGGGGCTGAGTTTGATGCTTCAGCAATTCTTTGGAAGAGCAGCTATGCACAAAACAGTTGTAGGATTGGCCCATAGGCTGTGATCCAACAACATCTTTCTTACTCTTTCAGAGCAGTGTTTGTAGCTGGTCTAGTATGTATGCTTTTTTCTTCAGTTAATCAATGCCTGGTGAAATGGTATAATCTAATCCAAACAAAACTTCCCATCACCAGTGGCCACTCTGGTGGTTGAGTAGCCAAAGCCTGCTCTCTGAACGCTTTTATTTCTCTTCCAGCAATATTTTAATTTTGTGGCCTAACACTTACAAACTACTGCATAATGCAAATGCATGTTTTTGAGACAGGATTGTGTTTTGTTTCAGGAACCGGGATTACCAGAGTTCAAGAATTGAGCAAAATATTTTAAATATGGTTTAATTTCAAATATGCTCTATTCTTATATGATTCCAGCTTTTTAAACCAGCTTTGTGACGGCTTCATCCATTGGTTATATTTACACCCTCAAAGTGCATATAAATAGTAGAATAATATGCAAAACAAACAGTCAAGACAAAGCTATTAAGGAGCTTCCAGCAGGGGAGGATTTTGTTGCACTGCGCTAAATAACAGAAATGGCTTGCTTTTTGTGTCTCTTGAATATTTACAGAGGCTAATGTTTCCAAAGTTACCCACATAAGCCATAATTTCTCTGTGCTTTTAGTAACCTTTACCAATCCAAGTAGGATGTTGTTACAAAGGAGATGATTAGTAGGAGCTGTCTGCTGTGCATGTCCCTTCTGTCCTAAGCAGACAAATATAAGCAGACATTCCTGTACTGTAAGAAAAAGTAGTTGAAATATACACATGTATGCAATGATTTTGCTGTATTTCTTTGTTACTCTAGCTTTCTGTGCTGGAATCAGAAGTAACTATTACTGCTAAAATCTATTCCTTGGGAACTGGCTTAGTTCAAGTTTCTTCAGTATAACTCTTTTCCTCTACTTCCCTTAGTGCCCAACAAAGAAGCAGTCAGGTTAACAAAAGTGCAGTGGGAAATCAGGTAGGCACCTAACAGAGAATGGATAATGGCATGTGCAAGTTAATCCAAGCTGTTTGGTTTTCTTGGCTGCGTTTGTTGTAAGTGTATCATTTACCTTTTCGGCTTCAAACATATATAAAATGTGTCATCATCGCCTTGTTTTCCTGAATTTTTCAGAGCCACCTGACTTTCATTGTTATCATCATTTATTGTTTAATATTTCTGCTACTGCTTGCACTGCTGGTTAGTGTCTCCCTTCCCATGCTGTTTAGTGCAGTGAATCTTTTATGTTACACATCAACGTGTTTTGTCATTAACTGCAAACTTGTGAATTTCGGAATCCAAAATGCTGGTGAGTACTTGCTTGTGTGTGCTTTGTCACAGTTGTTTTACTAGTTCTTACATGTTTACAGTTTAATAGCAGTGAAGGGGCAATTCAGCAAGCAAAAGCAGATTTGCCTTTTACCTCTTCTGAGAACTTTCAGTTGACTTTACAAAGGTGTTTACTATATACCATAGGCGCCTCTCAAAGAATAACAGGTTGATGGTCTCAAATTAATTAGCATTTTCACTACGATTCATTAATGAAATTACTTGTTTGTTTCTTTTTATTGCATAAGAATATGGGATTGATTCTGCAAGATGCTAAGTGCTCCTGAGCTTTGCTTCTTTCTTTGCTTTTGTGTGGGCCGGGGTGCTCAGTACTTCACAGGATCAGTCCTCTCTTTTATATAAGATGAAAATAATGAAAATGCTACAACTTTGAAGGTTTCTGCTCCCTTTGAGGGTTTTGCAAAGTCTTAAAGAAAATGTTATGGAATTAGTACATACTTTAAAAGGAAATAAAAAATTCTAGTAAAAACAAGACAATGAAATTTTTTATAAATAATTAGCAATATTGAACGTCTTCCTGATGTTTTCATGTGCTATTTGGTCAAACAATGCTCAGGAGGTGAAAGGTCAAGGTTTTCAAATGTGACCACGGAGTTTAGATCCCTTGGGTGAAAAACCTGACATTTCAGAAAGTTTCCTATTCTGCTGCTGTAGATGAGAGTTCCAGCATTTTTTGAAAACTTAGTCATCTTTTTGGGGATAGAAATCCAACCTCTTCCTCCCACCAAGAAATTGCTAGTTGTTTTTGAGACGTAGTTAAAATAATCCATTAACTTCTTGGATGTGATGATCCTCCACAGCCTGACCAGCATGAGTGGCATTTTTGAGGTAATATATGGTTTGGACTAAAATGAAGAAAGTTGAAAGGTCTAAACACTGAAAATGGCTTCAAAGACTAGTCTCTCCCCTCTGAGGAGAGATTTCCGTCTTATCTAGCTGTGCGAGAACATGTGTCAAACAAAACAACCGTCATCACTTTGGAGTGTCCCATAAAAGGAAAATCGACTAATTATCTGACTCTTCAAAAATACACAAATAAAATGAATGTTTTTTTAATTAAAGGGAATGTTCTCTCTCTAAAGAAGTGGAGAAAAAGCTTGGCATTTTAAGTTAAATGTTGAATCTTGATTACTTTTGGTGTAGAGGACTTTGCTGAACCTTTTATTTTAAAGATAATAAACAGATGTTTGTAAGTTAATTGTTTGGACTTGAAAAGAATGAGAAAATGTTTCTGAAATAAAACTTCATTTTTGCAATTTGCTATTTCAGGGAACCAATCTACCGCCTTCAAGGCAAATTGTACGAGCTAAGTTCTGTAAGCTTTATTGTTGCTTTTTCATTTAGCTTTTCAGAGGGCAAAGTTTGTCTCTAACTCATTGGTTTGTTGAATACTTGCTACTAAACTATTTAATGTTAAACTGTCTTGTCTGTAACACTTCCTCAACAAAGTATAATTGCAGTTCATCACTTAACTGCTACTAATCTGCTGTTACAAGTATGAACTAGTATAACTTAAAATGTTGTCGAAAACTTTGAATAAAATTAATATTTTTGTAATTTACTGAGTTTCTCAAACTAAAATGACTAACTGGTGTTTATTTTATTATATAACTGGAAAGCAGTTTTTATCTGATGTAAGTGCCTCTATTCATAGTAAACCTCTGTTTGAAAGGTGGGCAAATAAGTTTCAGGTAACCAAAAGGAGACATTAGCTCTTGTGTAAATGACCATGCTGTTTATGGGTACAGGTACTGTTCTTGGTATTTTGTTCATGTAAAGGAATTATTTCTGATAGAAAAAATGAGGTTTATTAATAAGCTTAGAAATATTTAAAGCCTTTTTAGCATTCTTTTAATAGCACCAGGAGGATCAATATATCATGGACAGACTCTTTTCTAACCCTTCCACCTCATGAGTAAATAAATATGTGAATGCCTTAATATTACTAATTAGAATTAATTGTCTAAACAGCAGTTAATTTTATAACAAGTTACTCCTGGTTCAGTGATGGTTAGGGGTAAGAAGTAAATCTCTCTTTCATGTGCATTCTTTGGTAATATCTATGATGAAAACATATACATTTTTCCAGTATGTTGCCACATCATCAAATTATATTATCTTTTCAAAAAAACTTAAACTAAACTTCAGTTCAATAAAGGAAAAAGGACTAGGCAGCACTGATTCTAACAGCAGATGAGTTGAATCTCTTGGGAGATCAAGATCATTAAGTTTTCCCAAAATAGTGGGATGCTCATTTGCAATCCTTTCCTTTTGTTTGAAGCTTGCTTTGAACTGGAATGATGCAGATAACTATTAACTATTTCTGTGTATCTCAGAAATAAGATGAGCACAGCAATATTGCATTTTTGGAAGAAGCGTAATGCCAATTCCTCTTAACATGTTTTTGCTCCTTTTTCCCCTACTACTAATTTATCCTCTCATGCTTAATCTTTGGCCTTTTTTGTTTGTCTTTTCTTTGCTACCGCCTGAGGTTTTGACCTGACTCCACAAAGTTTCTTTTTAAGCCACAGGTTAGTCTGTCTTCTAATTTGCTTGAAATAATCAGTGTAATGCTTGGTTTTACGCAGCACACTAGCAAGATCTGGTTCCTGAAAGCTGACCCACTCTTAACTGTGTATTTTGTGTGTTGAGATTTGTTTTGGTGACTAAAATGTAGTGTTTAAAGCTCCCCTTCATGGTAAACCTTTGAAGATGAAGGTGTCATTGCTCCATGTGCCCAATTGATACTCTGTGTGTGAGAATGCAAGATACTGAAATTATAGACGATTATATATAACTTATATGAAATTCTGTTTTGTGTTTTACTTCTGTAGCAAAATCTGCTGCTGTGGAGAAGGGGCTTAATCTGAACTATGAATTTCAAGTCACTGTCCAAGTGATTTGGAGGTTTGGGTTCAACGGCTTTGTTTGACCTGCCTCCTTTACAACATTACACCAGCAATCTGATTCACTTGTTCTGGACACAAGTAGCATTCAGACCCCATCAGTTGGCCTGAACGATAGTGTTAATAAGTAACTTTTCCCCCAAATAACCCCTTTTTTCTTTTTTCTTCTTAATCCTGCTTTGTAGAATACTTTGCTGCTTCTTTTCTTCAGATATACTTAAATCCTGTTACCTTGCATGACCCAGAAAAAAAATGTGTTTACAGAATTTTTTTAAGCAAGTAGATGGAAGCGGAAGCTTGTGCCATGGTCAGTGAGGTGGTCATGAAAAGTCATGACAAGGCTGTTTTGTTAAGAAATGCCAGTGTTTCTGTAAAAGAGGTGGTGGCCATGGACAACCACATGATGCCAAATTTTGAAATATGCTTGAATGAGACACGCTGCTGTTGAATTTTCACCTTATCAAGACTAGAGAAGTACTGCTGTTCTAAGTGGCCTTTAACTGTCATTTTTTAGGTTAAGATTCTTTCGTGATTGATTTATCACCTCAACCTTTGTTTAACTACATTTGGAAGCATGTTTCAGTTTTGCTTCAGTAAAGACTAAATTTTTCTTTAAAGTAGGCATGTGTTTAGCACTTAAGCCACTGTCATTCTTTTTAAGTTATGCAATACATTGTGCAGTGATTTTTGGGGGAGTAATGTCACAAGATCTGGGTTGCATTCAGTATCAAAACAGATCTGATCAGTTTACTCTCTGACTTTTGGCAGATTACAGTGAAATAGTGTATTAGGTTTCCCCTCTAATCTGTTGTTCCTTTTTAGCCTCTGTAGTGCGAGAAACTTCATATTTGAACCCAAAGAACCAATAGCTTGTAAGGATGCCTCACAGAGTAGTTTTTGCAATTTTTATTCTCTCAATGTGCTTACTATTTGGTAACACATGTTGTTATGACAGTGATTAGAAGATAGAGTAGTGCTGGGAGTTGTGTGTTCAAAATTATTTCAATGGAGTTATGTAACATAACTTTAATGGAGAGTTATGTTTACTCAACAAATGCTGCTGCTTGTATTATTGTGGAAATAGCCAGTCTCATGATTTTCACACTTGTATTTCTGTCTGCCCAGTCAATTTCACTTATCTCTCCCTTATCTTGAAATCAGCTTTCAAATACTTCTTTTAAAGAAATGGAACACTTTCTGATTCTCTGATGTGTTTCTTTTACAAATACCTTATTTGATTTAATTGAGTGAGTAAGTCATGCAGCAGTACCTACAAATGTACTTATTGTGTCAAATCCTGCTTTCCTGTTTATCCATGAAGTGGTGGAGAATAAGAACAACAGATATGATTTGGGTTTTGTGCAGCTGAACTATCAAAAATGACTTCCTTCTGGCTTGTTCGTGTGCATTCGTACCCTCTAAGTTTCATTTTTCAGACACCCAGATTAGGTATCAGAACCCTGAAGGAAGGAACTGTGTCATCTCTTGTTCATCCTGTACATGGAATCCAACTACCGGTCAGAATATTGTCTTCACTAGCTTCTGGCAATGCCCATATATTTCACCTTCCTGAAGTTCATAACTCATGTCACTAATATCCGGTTTGCGCAAGGTGACACTTAGAAATATGACAGAAAATATTGAAATGGATCTCTTAAATCTAAACCAACCAGAAAATGAACTAGTGAAAACAATAATGAAACACACTAATTTCATTTTTTCAAGCTGAAGTACTATGCAACATAGCTAACACATAGTTTAAAAAAAACCCAAACCATCCCCCCCATCAGAGGTTTTTTTAACTTCAAAAGTCTCTTTGAAAATCTTTGCTGCTTATTGCCCATGGAAGGACACTTGTAAAATATAGCTTGAATTATTTTTTGACAAATTGGCTGGAGTCTAAGGTGTAATTCAGCTTCTCTGGAAAAGTAAAACTATGTTGCTTAATCTCACTTTGTTTTGCACTTACACCATGATCTGACATCTCCCTTCCCCCTGAGCCCAACACTGGTACTGAGTATTTTGGAAGTGTAGCTTTTTGCAGTTAACAAAATATGCCTGGGAAATGGGAACAATTGAATGAAAAGAACATGAGGCTTAGCACACGAAGCTCATCTTCTCTCTCTGGATGTCCCCTGGAACTCCTTCGAAGTATTTTGGATAATTATTATCTGTTGTAGTGTCCAGAATATTTTGGAGAACACAGTACCCTGTTTTCCCAGAGAGGTATAGATAAACAGGTCTAGAAATTTGCACATGAAAAACACGTACCCAAGGTATTGCTATAGCTTGGTGCCCTGCTCTCCATGCAGTGTTGTGTAGGAATGACAGCTGGATCTAATCCTCAGCACACAGGATTTTTGAGGAAACAACTGGCAAATTCCTTCCTTTACAAGACAGTGACCAATGTTTGTATTAGCAAGTCCGCTTGTTTCTGTCCACACCCAGTGATAGTTATGCATCTATGGGGAGATGCATTGGACTGGAGCAAGACAGTCTTTTGGAGCTATGCAACTGATGTAGTTCCTACATTAGAAGTATTAAAAGCTTCATTACTTCTTAAATGGCCTATATAGTTTAGATTTTAAAATCTTGGCTTGGTCTGTTCTGAGACCTCTGCCACAAATGTGTTTTTGTCAAACTGAGAAAATTTGACTCTTACTACCATGCTACAAAACCTATGGTAATGATGAGGGAAATCACTGAATGGAATAAGCAGAGTGCTGCTTCCCTTCCCTTTTAAGTGCTCATCACCTGTAAGGTTCTTGAACATGCTACTCGGATGTTTCTTACTGGTTTGCTTCTAGAACCTCCTCTTTATCCCCATGGTGACATCTGTCTTCAAATCTTTTACCCTCTCCAAGATGTGTGTCCAAACGAGTTTTCAGTAGTGGGCTGCCTGTGCTTCCTGTATGTGGATATGTGCTTTATAAGGACCAACACAGCATTTTCAATTGCAGACAGCATGGTTCAACAGCATCCTCTCTCATAGCCTCTTATTTCAGTTTCTGTATAACATGGGAATAACCACCTTTGCACATTTGCTGTGAAGTACTTAGTCTGCTGTACAAATATAGCTCACCTTGTTGCGGAGCTAAGTTCAAGTGCTTGGGAAACCTTAATTTCCTGGATTTTTCCTAAAATTTCTTCCATTTGTGTTTGTGTAGTTCAGTGCAGAAAAAAATGAAATTAGCTTGGTTCCACAACTTGTTCTGTGGCAGCTGCCTGAAGGCCGGTATACTGGCTATATATGCATGTTGCTTGTTTCCTGTTAAAAGTTTACTTCAATAAACATTGTAAAATAAAATGAAGATTTGCTAGGTAATCGAGTGTCAGTATGTTTCTCTTAACTTGCACTCGGACAAGCATTCCATGTCTATTTGTACTCAGTAATGCCCTCTCTCCACTTCCTCCACCCTCCCCCATCAATGAACATGAATATTAAAAATAATGATAAGTTGTGCAGAAACCTTTGTGGTACAGGCTCTTCCATCCAGTCTGCTCGTGCTGTACCCTTGAGTCTCTCTACAGGAGTCATGTCCAGTACTTTCATAGCTTACTGAGTCTTCAGAACCAAATCAGTGCTTTTTTAGCAATTTTCTTACAGGCTGAAAACCTGTAGGGTGTTTTTGGATCTTCAGTGGTTTTCTTACACTGCTGGCCTGGTTGGTGGTGAGCAGGAAAACATCATCTTATTTGAAATGAAACTGATACCCTTGGATTATGTGCATAACTAATACTTTCCCCAGCTTTTCAGGTGCAAAGAGACTTCTGGTCTCTTTTTGTCGTTTGGTTATCAGATATAACTTAGTCCTTTGCTCTGTGCAATACCAGAGCTGTTCTTTCCAGGGAGCTTACATGAACGTGCATGCTGAATGGGAGTGAATTCCGATTCTGAAACTTTTATAGATGACAAGGATTAGATATTGAGCAATGTTTTTCTCTGGTTATCTGTTAATATTTGAGTTACTAGTCCTGTAAAGCCCTATGAGAGGAATGTCACAGTCTCGTGTGTTTCTCTAAGAGCAAGAGGAAACTCATGTTTGATCAAGTCTGTGCTTGTGGGACTGATTGAGAGAGTTCTGAAGCGCTTCTCTGAGCACTTCTTTCCATCTTAATACTTCATAGGCAAGTAAAGGGTGTTGCTGTGGAGAGAAACAGAATGGCTGAGGCTCCCTGCATCTGTGTGATTGGGAGAGTTCTGTTGTCTTGTTCAGAGTATGATAGGAAGGAACGTTTGCTTTCTTATATATATATTGGAAAACAATAAATGTTCCAATAAAATGGGAAGTTCCTGTATGATCCATAAACCAGTTCTCATGACCATTCTCTCCACCTATGGAGTTGTCTCATCCCCTCTAAAGTTTTCTTTTGTTCTTCTTTCTCTTTGCATGATGTAGCCTCCTGGCCTTAGTATTTATAGGTTTGCTGTTCCCATCTGTTCTTTCATCTTTGACTTGTATCTATTTTATAAAGGTCTGCTTTACCCATTTTTCCTTGATTTTTTTATTGCCGCCTTAGGTGGGTTTTTTTCCTCTTTTCTTTTTCTCTTCTACCTTATGAGAGGAAAATAGCTCTCATATACCTCTCCTTACCACCTCCTATCTTAATTTCAAATTAACTGTAGAAGACCTCTCCACTTTGTCACTTGATTAAACCCCTTCTGAAAATTCCCAATGCGTGCGAGTAGCCACTCGCTTTGCCAGAATCTAGGTGCTTTTCCTTTTTTTCTGCTTCTTCTTTCCTGCTTTTCCAACTACACAAATGACCTTAACAATTAGACTAGAACAGAGTAGTCATAGATAAAGTTGTATGAACTTCTACAATGTGTTGTTATACAGCAAATAAATATTTTTCAAGTTTACACGATCCTTAATGCACTCATACTTGCTATAAGTACAACACAATAATACTTAGGCTTCTCTCTTTCTCCAACCTTTTGACTGAAAACACTGTATTCACTTTGTTATGGCTTTTTTTCTTGAATGATAGGAACCTGCAAAAACTCTTGAATTTGCCAGAGACTGAAAAAATGCACCTGTTCTTGTTTTATTTAGCAAGTCTTTATTTAAAAGAATGAATGCAGCAGCAGATTACATCAAGTGAGTAATGAACTAAACTTGTGCCTGACTGCACCTCTGCACAGGTCATCCGGAAAGGTTGGCTGACCATCAACAATATTGGCATCATGAAAGGAGGATCCAAGGAATACTGGTTCGTTCTAACTGCAGAAAGCTTGTCCTGGTATAAAGATGATGAGGTAAGGAATGAAGAACTTCTTTTCTACTGGGAAAAAACCCAGTATTTATTCAGTCTGCTGATATCAGCTTAAAATATTAAATCAGCTTGTATAGACTTGAACTGAAAGAATGTTTTAAGGTTTTACCTGTGTTCTTTAAATTTTCTGGTTTTGATTCATGAAGAATGTTGACCCTCTAAGACTTTTGTTGAAATGTTGATAACATAAATACAGGGTGTTGTGTGAGGTGGTTTTGTTTGTTTTTTATTTTACTTTTTTCCTCTCTTCCTCTGGTTTCCACACATTGGTTTTTTTTAAAAAAAAAAAAACCAACAAAAAACCTGTTTTGGAATGTTCTGGTTATTGTCCTATGCCTGTTTGGACTACTCTTGCACATTGCACATCTACTGTGAGTTGATCATAAATTGTGTAGGTAAAGTTACTTCTAAAAGTAACTACAGCAATTGATTTAATGATAACAATTGTTCTCTGGCCTCGTATTCTGAGAGGTTGAAAAGCCTGTCTGCAGAGTTCTGTAGCCGGTTGGTATGGATTTTCAAATTTGACAAAAAATGCATCTTGGTAAGAGATGTTGCTGCTGATCAGTAAATCTGAGGTGAGTAATATGAGAACTGGAAAAAGCATTTCTATGATAAACAGGACATCCAGGTTGCTGACTTTATTCAATATGTTGTTAGGCAGCTCGTCCGTTCTGCTTAATTATTTTTTCAGTAATGTTGGTAATGATATGCTTTATCCAAAACTCCAGCAGTCTTGTTAATTTTTGAGGGTTAAAATGGAATTATTATGTGCACTATCAGCTTTACAGTAAAGTCCTTGTATTTTTTTTAAAGTTTGTGTTGGTGTTCGTAGAAAAATTGGGCTACATTTAAAAAAAAAAAGTAAAAATCAGAAAAGAATAAGTTAAATGTTTTCAGCAAAAATTTAGTGATTTTTAGGGTGAATCAGTTCATTGGATAGAAGAGGCACAGGTAAAGAGTTTTAAATGAACTCTGAAACATCACTCAATCTTTCCATCTTATTCTAAGTGATAATCAAAACACCGGCTTACCCCAACAACACAGGGAGATGGTTGGTGGGGACTGTGCAGACGATATTCTGCTTAAACTAACTTAGTGTTTTACTGCAGTGGATTTTCTAGAACCACTGGGGAGGGGTCCTGCAATGCATGTATATAAGCCAGAGCTCCACCAAGTCCTGTGAATGCAGAATGTGGTGCTTGTCATAGGTAGTTACTTCAGTAACAGTGCTGATGGTGGGAACTGCACTGGTCAGTAGTGTTTTTTTCCTGAGTCAGTAGCCGTTTTGGGATAGACCTTAAGATTGTCCCCACAAGGGACAAATTAGGTTAATCTTGAAGATTTTGCCCCTTGCCCTTTTATGTAAGTTTTAAATGGTTTCAAATGTATTTACTGTAACAGGAAAATGAGTGCATGTTGGACAGAGGGGAGGATCCAAGTGCGAAGTGTCAAGAGGGGAAGTTTTATTCTCAGATTACTGAAATATAATTTGAAGTATTTTATTGCAATGACATAAAAATTAATTAAAAAGAAATGCAAAAGTGCCATTATGAATTTGAAAATTGGAAGCTGTTATTTTTTGTGATCTACCTTGAAGCTACTAGAACTTGTTGTCTTAGATTAGGTACAGGTAACTGTAACTAAAATAAGTGATGTGGAGAGATTAACACCCCTTGCTATGTTCTGTCTCAGGCAACTGGAGGTGCATCCAAGATGTGCTGTGGCAATTTTTTAGGTAGCTTTGGTGTTGCTTTTTTGAGTGTGATCTTTGTTTGGTGTGAAATGTAAAAATTCCTGAAAATACTTATGGAATGTCTTCTGCTATGCAACTTTAAAAATAAATCATTTGTTTTGATAGTCTGCTAGGGAGAGTCACCTGGGAATCTCGGAATAGTACATGGAGGGAAATGGCCACTGTCTGATTTCCATATGCATATTTTAAAATAATGTCTCTTAATTGCCAAACAGTTGTGTCTTGAGAATCATGAAAATACCAGTAGTTCATTCAGGCCAATATGGGAGATCATGCAGGAATTTCTTAGAGTGGTAAGAGAAGGTAACGGCATAGTACTATTCCATGCTTTGCTGGTGGAAGAAGTTCTTCCTTAAATACAGATTTGCTGTATAATTTGATTATTCTGTCCTGGGCAAGA